AATGTATTAAATTGTTAAATTAAAAACACCTCTGGACATTATTAAAGTCTTAGGAAGGGTAACCCTGTTCCTTTCAAAATGTTGTTTTGTGTTTTTTTCTACCCAAGGAAGGAGGACAAGGAAATCTTGAGTACTATGTTACTGCTGTCCTTCAGTATTTTTTTTAATTAATTCTTTTTACAGAATACATTTTTCCTTGTTTCATGCACTACTGATTGCAATGCAGTTGAAATACAGAAGTCAGTGGTTCTCTTTAAATTATTTCTTGGGTTAAATGTAATAAGCAAAAGGAAAGAGGTATCTAATAAATATTAAAAATTTCAACCTGTGGCCTTTGTTTCAGAAAAATCTTGTGAATTTACAAGAATAATCTCCCAAAAATTGATGCCTTTGCTTTCTAGTCTCATCTACATGAATCAAAGTTGAGGAAGTAACTAGTATGGTGTCCAGAGCCTTTTCTCCAGCTTTTTTGGCTCTGCCTCTGCAGAGAATTCCTGTCAACCTTGGATTTATTTGATGTATTACGACAAATGCTGCCTTGCTGTGTTTTCTGCCCCTGCTGGAGTCTCCGTGAGATTAGAGATCACGTGCTACCTTAGTTTAATGTTCTTGACCTTTTTCAGATGATTGACACTGCTGAATGGTTGCAGCAAAGCAGCAATTATCCACTAGCTGTGTTATGCTCATTTCAAGGAGAAAATAAATGTTATGTGAGATGAGTAATCTGGACTGTGTCTTTCTGCTGAGTAAATGTAGGGGACCTGCCTGAATGAGTCATGATTCCTTGCCCATTTGTTCTGCACATTCCCCCTGTGCTCTCCCCCTTCTAAATGCTTTACTGTGCTCTGATCCTGTTAGCCCACACAGCTAAGAGAGCTAAATCTTTTGGACTTGATCAGCAACATAAAATTCCTCAGGCTCAAAGGCTCAGAGATGGTGGCAGACATGGCAATGTGAACCTTCTTATGTATATTAAAAAATAAAATAGGAGAAATGAAAGCACCCTAAGCTACGAGCAGTGTGTGAGCATGATGTGAGCACATAAAATTATACAGGGATTTTGCAGTCCAGCTTCCATAGTGTTTTATTGTTTTTTCAGTCTCTTCTTTTTTTTTTTTTTCCTCCTTCAGTGAATTTCCCACAAGAATTCTGTCAAGGTTTGGCTCATAAGTAGCAATGAATTTTGTAAAGTTCCTTTACACATAAAGCAAACAGCAACTTTACCAAATGTTCAATGCAAAGAGATCCATGTGTCTCTTCATGCTACTGTTTGGGAAGACATTTTACAGAACACCTGTCTGGCTTTAAGTTCACACACAGAGATGCACATTTGAAGGAAAAAAAAAATCAGTTCCTGCTTCATAACAACTTCAATACTGGGATTCTTTCCTGTATCAAGGGATTGTATATCTGTGACACTACATCATCATTACTGTAATCAATAGTGTGAAGACTATTAACATTAGAATAATCAATATTATATAATTACACAATTACAATAATTGTTATACCATTAATGTTGTTATGGTTATTAGTATTGTTATTCAGTTGGCACAGCCCCTTTTTAAAAGGTAACATTTTTTTACCTGTAGGCCATCGAACATTGTTCATTGGAGTTCATGTGCCACTGGGTGGACGAAAAAGTCACCGACGCCATAGGCACCGTGGACATAAACACAGAAAGAGAGACAGAGAGCGAGATTCAGGATTGGAAGATGGGAGAGAGTCTCCTCCCTTTGGTAAGATAAATTTTATTTTTGCATAGATCTTTTAGTAATAAACGTCAGTATGATTTGCATGTTCTGTCCTGTTATGGATTGGACACATTAGCAGCGGGGTTTTGGAGAACCCATCAGAGCCTTTCCAGTCTCTGCTGGAGAGCCCAGATTTGTTCCTCTGATGAAGGGCAGCAGCCAGTCAATACATGAGAAATCTCAGTAATTTCTACCACTGTAGGAGCCTGTCTGTGGGTGTTCTCATAAAGGTAGACTGCCACTGCCACTGAGAGGGGCTAAGTGCTTTATGCCACTAGCTGCCCTCAGTGAAAGCTCTGGACTATTTACCCCTAAAACATAATGCAGAGGAGTTGTGGTTCTTTGCAGTTAGTTTTGTAATAATGTGCATGCTACTGAAGCTGCAGTGTTTTATCAGATATGAACTGTCATCCAGATTGTGTTTGCCTTTTGCCTTACATGACACTGTAATGTGCCATTGTGAGATGAGTCTGCTAACTGAGGACTTGAGAGCAAACGTGAAAAAATACTGTTCAATAAACGAACCTGATAAAAAACTCCTAAAATTCTCAAAGTTTTAAATTAAAAAAACATTACAGAGAACCAAAAAAGGTAATCGTGAATAAATTAGTCAAGCTTTGTCTCAAAACTCATGAAAATATTATTTGCTATTCAAAAATGAAAAGCGCATATGCTGGAATGTCCAAAGCTGTAGTTATTATTGAAAATATAACGGAAGCACATACAGAAAACGATTTGTCAGTGTGCAACAGAAGAATATTTTAAAATCATTAGGGAAATGTGCCAAAGTAATTTCAGGTTACAGAATAGTAATTATAAGACTTTCTTTTAATCCACAGTTTGTATTATGTATGTAGAAAGATTTGGAGCAAGTAGATTGTAAGGGCTGATGGTTAAGTATATTGTAAAGAGCTTGAAATACTCAAATCTTTCACAATGAATTATACTGAGAATGAAACAGTCAAGACTATTTCAAACTTGGTAGATATGAGTTATGTTTTGAAGACTGAACAGTGAAGAAAAAATTGGCTGTGGTGGTTCTGCCTGGAATGTATTTCAAATGTACAGAGACCCAATACTATATTGGAACTGGTTTATTGGAAAACAACAAAGTTCATAAATTATTAAAATAGTTTTCAAAAAGAATATGCATATATACATAACTGACATTGCAGATTAAAAAGAAACAATTGAAGGTTACATTAGCCAAGAAGAGAGATATCTTAAACTATGAAGCAATGTCTTCTGTTGAGTCATTTTATTTAAGTGCCAGTATGTGACACATTTTGGCTGAGAACTTAGCTGTTTTTTCAACTTCTGGGGACCTAGGCTTGTGTCCTTCCTAATGTCAAAAGTAAAAAAAAAAAAGAAATTAACTGGCTGAATCTGTCCTTAATAGTCTTTGACAATTGTGCATACAGTCAATTGCACTGTTAATGGAGTTCTGTGTTAAGTGAAAATCAACCTATGTTCAAGAGAGGTCTAAATCTAGAGTAGCAGTAGTGTGAAAAGGATGTTTCTGAAGTGCATTTGTAAATTGGTGTTCACAGCACTTGTCTACAGGCAAGTGTTTGAAATAAGAGCAGGACTGCACTTTTGTAAGTCATACTTTCCCTTGTGAAGGTATTATAACTACCAATTAAAAGGTGTGTAGGTCACGTCACATAAACTACTACTTTTACAAAACCCAGGACAGACAGGCTATAGGCCAGAAACATGCAAGTCATCTCTGGATCCAGAATGCTGGAGATGCTCTTCAGAAATACTTGGGTGATAATTCAAAAGGAGCCAAAGACAGAACTACCAGACATTCAGAAAAATTGGGAAATACCAATTTTTTCTACCCTGAAATAACACCTAAGTAGTAAAATCTGAGGATTTTTCACCTTGGTTATCTCACTGCTGGAAGTTGGTCCAGAGAACTGGACTTTGACTGAGCTTTGACATCTGTCCATCCAGGCAGAATTGTGACATCCCACAGACAGCAGTGAAACAGATTTGCCTTATGAAGGCAAATCTGAAGATTGTACAGTGATGGAGGGGTTAAGCACACTCAGAGCAGGCAGACAAAATTATACAGGGATTAATTGTAGTCTGTATCCACATCCTCGCTTTTACTATGGATTTTCCTTACAGGAGTTTCAAACAGGTTGTTGTGCTGCTTGGGGAGAAGCATTGCCTTTCGAGAGAATATCGGCATACTTTTTCTATGCTTTATTTGCACAGAGGGAGCAACAGATACTTCCTGCACTAAATCTGAATCCAGTAAACCTCACTAATGCTTCTTAGCTCTCATTTTGCATGACCACAAGCTTATAACAGTACCCAGAGGTTGAAGGAAGTTACAGGGAAGACAAATGCACTTCCTACTCTTGATGTGTAACTTAATATGAGGGACTGTGCTACCTAAAAGAGCAGATGCAAAATAGTCCCTTAATTTATGAATCATTCTGATTTAATTGAACATGCAGAAATGCTTAACTCCCTCTCACCATATACCCCTTTTAACACATTTCTGCTGAATAGTAGGAGGCTGTATTCTTAGGAACTGGGGGGGAGGAGGAGAAAGAAGAAACATTTGAACGAGCAGGTGCAAGAAGAAAAAGAAAAAAAGCACTGTGAGACCAGCTGATAGACCCCAGTGCTTTGAAGTAAGTCAGAAAAATACATTAGGATTTTTATGATACAAGAGAATAAATTAGCAGGTTTTGAAGCAGTGAAATATGAAAGAAGGTATAATAAAAGTCAAAGATGCAACAACTGAGTTACAGTGATGCTGAACAAGGCCTGAAATATTCAGACATGAGGTGCTCCAGACTTCTCAGTTAGCCAAGCATGGGATGAAGCATTATTTTTTTTTCATAATTTATAACTTCATCTGTGAAGTACCATTAGGTGCTCTGCTGTCACTGCTTCAGGGAGCTGCACCGTGCACATAGTGCTGTGGGGCTGTGCAGGCCCAGTGGACAGTGAAAAAAAATTTATTAAACAGTTTTCTTTGCATCAACATGGCTAGAAAACACCTGTATTCAGTGTAATGCCCATGGCTGGAAGCTTCCTGGTAATCCTTTTGAATCCTGGCTGGAAAAGCTGTACCAGGTACTTTCTGAGGGAATGTTTCTGCTGAGAACAGATTTTTTTTAGAATATTCTAATGTCAGCTCATAAACTTTTTTTTTGAGCTCCTACTGTCAGTTTTCAAAAATAACCTGAGTGTTCTCAATGTGCAGATTCGGAGCTTGTAGACAAACAATATGTAGAATACATAGTCAGTGGAATAAAAAGAATACAAGTCCTGTCATTTGGGGGCACAGATCAGTTACTCAACTTTTATTTTTGTTTTCCCCACACCTGATTCTCACTGTCTGTCTGTTGCCTGTTCACGAGATGACATTGTACAAGATTTTTAAATTTTGCCATAATGATGTGCCTTTGAGTTGCATAATTTGCAGATTACATGGCTTGCTCCTAGAGATTCTTTTTTGGGTAGTAAAAATTGTAAGCTAAGCGATTTCAAGATCTAGATTTCCACCATTTTGTCTAATAATTTTTTGAAGGGGTTTACCATTCCCAGCTGAAATGCTGCTGTTGTAATTAAGGCCCCAGTTTCATGCCTGCTTTAAACTTTCCTTGTGGGGCAACTATCATGGCTGATCTGTGAATTAAATTAGGGAATTGATGCAAATTAAAACTGGTTTGGCAAAAAAATTGTTTCTAGCCTAAAGCAGCTCTTTGGTGGTGTTTGCTTGGAGGGTGACAGGTGCCAGCCCCAGTGGGCTGCAGGGCCACAGCCAGCAGGGACTGCTCCATCAGTGGGTGGTGGTGGCTCTGAAAGTCTGGTGCAGATTTCCCTTTGGCTGGTAGATTTGCACTTACTTGGTATGCATGTGGATTTTAGTGATAATTTTCAGTGGGTTTTGATACCTTTTTTTGCCCGTAACTAGTGAAACAGCTCTCTTGTACTCGCAGTTAGATTTATGTGTCTGTTTTAAAATGGAGTGGAATAGGGATACCTTAGCTCTTAGCAGGGTGTCTTTAAGGACAGGTTTTGTGAGGGTGACGTTAACACAGCTGTGAGGACTGGGGTTTGATTTCAGCATACTATGGTATACTAGGACTAGACACTGTGGGGGCTGGTGCAAGGTTGACTTTTAAGATTCTTTAATAATCTCTGTTTTTAAAGAGGCTTAAATTTGTAATTCATTATATTGGATGTGGCAAGGGAAGCTGAGCAGCCCTGGAGGTGAGCCTAACAGAGTTTAGGCTTTCACACACGGTTTTTAGGTTTTTTTCACAGTTTTTAGGTTTTCACACACGATTTGTGAAGGGCTCTCTGAAGGTAATACAGGCGAAGAAGTGAATTGCAAAGGGGAACTTCTCTTGGTTACTAGAGGGGCTTGAAGGAAGTATAATGAAAGGACTCAGCTGACTTTATTTGGTAGCTAACATCAAACCTCAAAGGGATATTAATGGGGCAGTTTAATTATTTGTAAAGAGTACAGCTGTTAAGAGAATTCTCCTATGCTTAACTTCAGGACTTGTCTGCTGAAGGATGAACTTGAGAATTTGAGTCTCTGGGCAGCTGTGGAACAGATTGCAGCAAATCTGGATTAAAAGAATGTATCATAGCTGTAGTTTTAAGAGTCTAGCAAAAAGAAGATAATTGAAGCTTGGGAATTGTCCATATTGTCAAATGTAAAACATAAGATTATTTGTCGTAGCCCTGAGGTGATGGAGACAATTCATGTGAAGAAAAGGCAGAGTGCTTCATGTAAACAAGATCGTATGTATAGGGATAAAGTGCCAGAGGAGCAAGCAAGGAAATACTTTCTCCTGACCTAACACATAGTTTCTAAGGTCCATGAAGAGATTTTCAGAAATGTGCTGTATGGCTGTTTACTGCTTTATGTGTACTTTAGTAATGTAAATTTTTAAAAATTTTTACCATGTTTCCTAATTAAAAAAAAAAAGTGATTTATAATCCCTGCCTTTACTGATTGCTGACCTGAAGGTCAAAGTCCAATCTGCACAGGAAGGAGTTAGGGGGAGAGCCCCCATCCACCACTTCCTTGGTGAGCACGAGGAAGAGGATGATGAATATTTGTGTGTGAAATGATCCTTTCTTTTCTGTGATACTTTGAATTTTTCACACCATTTCCTCTTTGTTTGAAAGGAGTTGTTACTGTCCTATGCAATGAGCAATCAAAAAACAAAAGTTTGTATATTTGATATTACTTTAATATCAATGTACAGGAGCATGGGGCATGGATTAAATCTTGTCTGTACTGTTTACTATTTTATGTGAACTTTTGTAACATAAATTTTATCTTAATGTTTATCATGTTTTCTAATGTAGAAAAAGTGATTTTTCACCCCTATGTCTACTGACACCCGTAAGAAGTATTAACCTACAAGTACTACCCTTAAATGCAGGTTCTCAACAGGCTTAGAAATACAGAAACCTGTTCTGACAATTCAGCTAATAAAGTGTTACTAGAAATACATTCTTGCACCCTTTCTAGAGCTTATCAAGAGCAGAGGACAAAATTTGGAATACATTGAGTACATACCCAAGGCTGTGTTCTGCTTGTGGTATGGCTTGGATAGACTGTGTGTAGTTCTGCCTGATGGCAGGGAGACTGTCCCAGGAGAAATCCTGGCACTCACAGAGGAGGAGATGTGGATCACTCTGAGTGGTGCAGTGGGTTATTTGCTGGGCTGAATTTATGTGGAGGGACTGAGAATGATCCTTCTTTCTTACCCCACCTCAAGTGTTGATTTCACCTTGTTCCCTTAGGCAAGAGGGAGCAATCCTGACCCAGAACTGAGGTTGTGTTTACGGATGGTTTAAATGCCAGTTACAGTTCTTTCCTACCTGTGTTTTGCAAGGTGGGATAGTCATGTAGGCCACTGTTCTCCCCTGCCTACACTCAGTGGTGTTCCAGAGAGAAGCTCTTCCTGTTACCCTCTGGGAATTATTAGGTTATTAGTAGTTCTGTCTTTCAGTTCTGCTCTTTTGGCATGGCTATGCCCATATCTTGTTTTTGTTTTAGGGATGTTAATGACTTTACAAAGACTCATAGTAGTGAGCAGTATGTCACGTTTCTGCAAGGTCACTTCCTTTCTACAGCACTGAATCCCGGTGTGAATTTGTGCTTTCAAAAACAGCATATCCACCAGATCTTAATTTTTAACCTTTAACAGCACAGTGGAATGACACAGATTTTTAAACCTGGAATACTCAGGTTTTCCATGTATGCAATGAGTTGGAGGTAGTTTGGGTGTCTCTGTGAATGCTGTATGGATGGTGCAAGCACAAGCCCAGAGAAACCCAGGTATAACACAGGGGCAAGAAGCTCCCATGGGCTGGTAGAGCCACAGCAGACAGAGAGCCACCTCAGCTTCTCCTGACTGGGATGGCTCATTAGCCAAGCATGGGTGGCTGTTGATAGTACTCTGTCTAGGCTGCTGTCATGTGCCAGACTTTCTGACCAATCCCAACTGGTCCTGGAAGATTTCCTGAACTGGTAATAAGTCATTTACTAGGGAGAATCATCAGCTGCTTATTGTGGAACTTCAAATTCACATTGCTACCAATATCTCTGTGTTCTGCTATAAAACAGCTGCAGTGATAGAAATCCTGAGGTAACAAATTAATCTTATTTATTTATTTTTTTTTAGCTTAATCTAGATTACTTTCATTACTTTTTAGAAACAGCAATAATGATACAAAAGATTTTTTTTTTTTACACTGGCTATACTACTTGAAGTAAGGATAGACACAGATAATATTCAAGTCAATTTCTGTTTTCCTAGACTTGAAAAAAAGTTGAGTGTACTAGTTTGCAAATATTATGCTTTTACAGTGAGGATCAAGTTGTCATAGTTTGACAGTCAGCAATTGAAGTATTTTTTCATACTGTTTTTGAATCACATATTACTCATTTTCCATATAACACATTAATGACATATTTGGTATTTATTACTCCTGTGAATAAGAGACAAATCCATCTGGTGTTGCTCCCATGAGTAATACTGTTAGCTTAGTTTTGTAAGTAGAAGCAACAGATCTGGTTGTTTGGGGTTTTTTTAATATATATATATAGTGTTCCTATTGTTTAATTCTCTTAAGGTTTTGTCCTTGAAATAAAATTATTGTACTACAAAGCAAACAATAATCTTTTTTTTTTTTTTTTTTTTTTAGTTTCCAGCTTGGCGCCTGAAAATCAAGCTGTGGCTTGCAGGTTTCAGACACCAGTACAAAGTACAGTGGCAAAGAGAGACAGCCAGAATCTAGAAGCTAGTTTTACTTGTGGGTTAACAAGGAAGAAGAATTCAGTGCATACTTTGTAATTTATATAGGTTCTTCACTGTTGTCAGTCAAGTAGCTGTATGTTGCACAGAAGACCCAGTAAGAGCAAATCACAACAGTAAGGTGTTTCCTTACTGTGTTACTACGCACCTGATTTCAAGGGATTTCTGATCCTCTGCTTTCCTGCTCACTGAAAGCATGCATTTCCATGAGTATCAGAACCGTCATGAAACTGCAGCTCTGCTGTACAACTCTGCTCATTTATTACTTAACAGTAACTGTTGCTGTAAATCAGTTCTAGTGCTGATTTTATCAAGAGTACAGGATGTTCTTGGCAATTCCCATTTTCAGATTCTCACTGCAGTCCAGCTCTCTACCAAAGGAGCTTGTTTTCCTTGTTCTGTCACTAGTCATATGTGTTTGTCCTTTGCAAGTTCATATCTCGTTGAATTTTGTTCTTCTGGGAAATAGTCTTATCAGGTTGCACATTTCTTGACCAGAATGTACTTTCTAGTCTCAGATTAAATCTTGATGTTTGTATTTACTTTCTCCTTTTCTAGAATGTGCCAACATATGCATATGAGGAACATAAAGAATTTTTAATATATAGAGGCTGGAAGGGGATCTAGAATAGAGGTTGAAATTGTCTTTAAAGAAAAAAGAGGAGTGAAGAGTGAGAGAAAAGGATAATAAAAGAAAGTAAGGTGGAGGACACTGTTGTGGTTGTTTAATGATTCACCAAAAGTAGTTTCTGTCCCTTTGGCTGTCCCCCTGCAGTTCCATTTTCTAGAGCTTAGTAGTACCTGAGCCCATCTCTCTCTCCCTCCTCTCCTATACTTCTTCCTGGGTTTCATTTCCTTGCTTTGTGAGGAGTAAGTAGCCTTGACCATACTATATCTTTACACCGTTTAAGGAAATAGACCTCAGATGAAAACAGTCATGCATTGTTTCTATTTCATTGCTATAGCAAGTTGACTAATACTGCTACCAAAAAAGGTATCTTTGCTGCTGAACTTAATCTCCTGTGTCAGTGGCCCATTAAATTATTTTTGGTAAGTGCTGTAGCATTCAGTGAGTGCTGTCATCTCAGTTTTTCCAAGATTCAGGGAGCTTGAGGATCCTATGCAGTTACGCTCTTCACTGCTAGATGGAAAATAGTGTACCTTGTCTTACAAACATGGTTGTAGAACAGAATTTCATTTAGGCAATATTCAAGGAATTGCTGAGCTGTTCTTCTGCATAATATATTTTTTTATTAACTGGCAGCCTGGTTCCTAACATCTCTCACAAAGGAATTGTGGTTCCTCTCAGATATCTAAAATACATTAGCAGAAAAAATACCCATGTATTCCTAGAGCAACTGCATTTCATCCACATTTGAGATTTGCATTTAAATAAGCAAATGGGATTTTTTTAAAAAAACAGAAAACAACTTACAACATTTGAGCTATGAACACTTGAATATACATGCTCTGTGAGTTCTGGAAATTTTCTGAGTGATATGAAAAAAGAATATTATGTCTCCAAAATATATTTAGTGGCTTGCACTGGAAGGTTATGAGAGAAATAACTGATAATAGGAATGTAAAAGGAAGACAGAGACAGGGAGAATAAAATGGGGAAGTGGCGATGGGTAAACAATTTGTTCATCTGGAATAGCCTAACCATGCAGAAAGAGTTTACCGGCAGGGGATGGTAGATGTAGATAGTGTAGTCTTTTTGAAGTTCCCAGTTGTATATTGACGTTTGAGAGGTTTCTTTCTCCTGGTAGATAAAACAAAGAATTTGCATATAGTATAACAGCTTTGTGAGCTGAGTTAGATTTGTAGATTTAGACTTACAATGTGGCAAAGTAGTTTTTGTAACACTGGAGTAAAAGACATTTATCAGCTCTATCTCTGCTGTTGTGGGGTACCATTCCAGCTTCCAGTAGTCACTACTTCTGTACATGACATTCTACCTTTAGATGAGTTTGTTTAATTATCAGACTAGACAACTACAGTAAATAAAGAGGTCTCAGTCTGAAGGTGTTTGTGTGTAAATGTTCTTACAGCATAACTATAGTAATGTTGTCTATGTGGCAGCAAGTGATTTGGATAAAAGAGTGGATAATCTCAAGAAACTTTATGTATTTGCTTGCTATTGTGCTGGTATTGGTGTTCTGCACTTGATATTTTTATTTTTCCCTAGATACCCCATCACAAAGGGTGCAGTTTATTCTGGGAACAGAAGATGATGACGAGGAACACATTCCTCATGATCTCTTTACTGAGCTTGATGAAATTTGTTGGCGTGAAGGAGAGGATGCAGAGTGGAGGGAGACAGCAAGGTGAGTGTTTTTGTGAGTTTTAAAAAATTATCTGTGCCTATTGGTTGCTGGTGTATTGTGGAATGATTTCAAAGCTGTGGCAAGCTCAGGAACAGATTTTGGATATAAAGCTTAAATAAAACCATAATTTTAATCCTTAGACTGCTAGTATTACTACAGCGTTTGTCGTTTCTCAGAGCCAAATGTTTTCATCTGGATTTGTGAAATATAGGTCAGAATGAATACCAAGGGAAAAAAACACATACTGGTTTTATTCATATTTTAGCTCATCATTTTAAGAAACCTTCAAACTTCATTTTTGTTTGAATCATCAAGAAACTGATAAAATTACCCTGAAATTACTTTTGGAGCAGTAAAATTTTACCATATTCTATACTATCAATGAACAGTTGATTTTGAGACTTTCCGTATTCAGTGTTTGATTATTTTGTTTCCACAAAATTAGTGCGAAAAGACTGTTTTTTCTGCTGAAAAAGCTCGTGTTGGAACAGAACTTCTTTTGTTTTTAAATGTTTGTTTCCTTAAGCAGCTAAATGGGAGATGACTTGCTTCGTTTCATTAAGACTTTACATTTCCCAGCAATCCTTGCTTCCATTTTCTTCTTAGAACCTTAATTCTCTCTTACCCTGCCAGCGTTTGTTGACAGTGTTCTTCAGTGGTCCCCAGAAGTCTGTGGACCACATCTTTGGTGTCGGTAGGATAAAACTTGTGGAATTTGTGAAAGGATTTTGAGGGGAGCTATGTATATGGACTGTTTGGCATGAATATGGCTGTTAGCTTTGCCTTTAATTTTACTGCAAATTCTTGCTTTCCCAGAAGGCCACAGAATTTTCTATGACTTTCTCTTATGTGTCTGTAAGAGGTATAGACAGATGCTAAATATAGATCTTTACATGTAGAAAATTTTCATATGGGGATTGTGCTGCAAAATGAATGTAGTAGTGTTCCTAAATAATCTTATTAATATTCAGAGAGAGAAAATCTAATCAAGTTAATAATCTGCAATGTTCTCATACTGATTAGGAATATATAGGACCTCTTGTAGGGAGGGTATCAGCTTCTGTTGTAATTAAAAATGTGTCACTGTGGCTTATGTTATTTTTAAGCAGGAAAATAGCAGATTCTTTAGCTCAACTAAAAAAAAATCCCTGTGCAAATCATCGAAGAATTGTGTTTCTGAACATGAATACTTAATCGAGATAGAATTTGAAATGAATAGGTGAAATAAAGAAATTTCTATTTAGATTGTTCTGTCTATACAGACAACTTTACCAGTTGTCATTTGGGAACTAAAGAATCAAAAATGTTTAACAGAAACAAGCTGAGATTGTTGAAAAAGGACAGTTAAAAAACAGCCTAGAAAACTGTATTTTTAGAGCTCATAAAAGACGAGTAAAAATTTATTTAGCTATAGAAATAAAGTGAAAACAAAGAAAGAGTGGGGCTGCCATGAAGAAAGAACTGGTCAAGAGAAATGAATTTTTTAGTTTGGGTCCAGAAATTTCAGACAGCATTTGACATGAGGAGGCCAGCTGTTAGAAAAGGAGGAGGTGAAAGGACCAAATTAAAAATGAAGGCAAGCGTTGAAGTGTTTTATCTATGCCAATAAAAAGGTGCAATAATTTCTATCGTAGAAAGCTGAAAGAACATGTGTTTCATGGATATAGTAAATCTCATCATTCTATGAATCTATCAAGTGGATTGTTGTACTGTAGCAAACACAGCAACACTTCAATAAATGATAAAAATGGTCAGAACAGACCCGGGCCTGATGGTCAGATTTCAGAGCTATGCAAGGCTTAGAACAATATTTGAAGGAAAGAATAATTATAGACTTGGAGCTAGGTGGAAAATTGGATAAAATGCAATACAATAGTGTATCATGTCAGACTAACTCAATAATGCTGTTTAATCAGATAATTGATTTTTGTTTTTTTGACAAACAGCAGATCGATTTTTTTTTTTTTAGTAAAGATTTTGATGAGAATTTATTACTTAAACACTATTCTTGTGTAAAAATTATATTAGTGGGTGAGAAACTAATTGAAGAGGTGCAACAGGTCATTAAACTGTTATTGTGGAAGGTAGTGGCAACTAACTTCTGAAGAATTAGTCTCACTAAATGACTTTATTATTGAAAGACAAAAATAGGATTATAGTAATGAAACATGCTGATGATAAGAAGTTAGGAGATATTGTTACTCTAGAAATAGGTAAGGATATCATACACAAAGAACAAGGTGATTTTGAGTAATAGAAATGGGGTGGTGTTTAGTACGCAAGATCATATACTTACCAGCTAATATAATGGATCATTTTCAATACCAGTGGTTGATTCAGGACTTTAGAAATATTGATTTGATTAAAAGCATGGTATAGAGACAGTACACTCTGAGTTTTTTGCTTTTCCAGCTTTATTGTATGTTTTCCATTGGTGTGGACAATGCCACTGTCAGTATTTGTAAGTCCTGCTATTTGGCTTTGGACATAGTTCCAGGCAGATGAATTTAAATACCAACGATACAGAGGAAGGCTTGGTCTTTAATGGCATTTAATACGAGTGATGGCATTAAGTGATTCTCTGTTCATTTAACCAAGCTCTGCGTGGACTTAAGGGTTGGGATGACTCTAATGCAGTAAATCTGTATCTTTGTGTTTTCAGTTTGATTGCAATTGCATGCAGAGTTCAGGCTTAAAATTTTTCCCAAAATATCTTGAGCAAACTGCATAAAAGTATTTGAGACATTCTCTTGGGTTGATCATAGTAGTAACATACCAAAGGGAGCCATGGGTAAGATTTGACTGAAGCTTGGTATTCTATAGGTAAATCTCCTCTATTCCTATTTAGTTTGTTTGGAAGAGTAAGTCCTTTTCTAGACTTTTTTGTTGGTTTTTTTTGCTCAGCAGTTGGAAGACTCCGAGGTTTGCCATTCTCCACTTCGATAACGTTTCTCATGAGCAAAAGTATTCCTGC